GTCTCATGTCTTCCTTGAGACTCCAGATCATCTGAAGCATGTATGTCCTGAGCTCTCTATCTGACATTCCATCTGTTGCAGCTATTACCTCTTCTAAAGTTGAGTTGACCTGCATTGCCTGTGGTCCTTTCTTTCCTTGTCGTTTCATACTGCTGGCGTTTCTTTCTGCTTTGTGAAATTGTTGTGTCTTTGAAATTTTCCCTCTATTTATTTATATTGCTCTTGTATAGTTGAAAAATCACCCTTGCAGGGCAGGTAGTGGCTGTGATCCTCCTCAAATTAGTGTGATCCGTCTACCATGCTGGCAGGCCCTAGGTCTTCTCTGCTGGTCGGTCAAAGGTGCGCCTACCCAGCAGGCGCCAGAGGCAATTGTGTCACTCCATAGGTTGCTGGGCCTAACCTCCCGATGGGTCGCAGGTTCCCCTAGCTTGCAGGCACTGAGGGAGGGGCCGGTTCCGTCCCTCAGCAGGTTGCTGGGCCGGATCTGCCAGTGTTCACAGTCCCGCCTACCTTGCAGACACTGGGGGAGGGGACGGGCCTGGCCCTCAGCCGGCCACCGGACCTGTCCTAGTGGGTCCGGTCCGCGTTCCCCGCTGGCGCGTTTAGCTGCTCTGTCACTTGGCTGGTTGCTGGGCCTGACCCGCCAAGAATGTAATTTCTAATGATGTTGTTACATAGGTAAAAAAAGTGAGAATATAGAAGATCATCCTCTTTTGTGTCTTACAAGGTATATGAGCAGTCATGACACGAAAAGTACATTTGCACAAGTAAACAGAATACTTCATCATGTAGAACAAACATAAAAAATAAATGTCCTAAGGAAGGTCATTGCATTTCAGAAATTACTGGAGACATACAAATAATGACATTGGAAAGAGGATGTGCAACATACCAATTGATACACTGTATGTTTTCATTTCCTGTGGATGTTTCATTGAAATATCATAGATTTTGTCAGCATGCTTTTTTAAAACTACAGCATAATMTCGACAGTCAAAAGGAAGCACTATGGAATTGGCCAATTCAAACACCATCCCTTCTTGAACCTGGGCCATGCTGAGGTAATATTTAAATGTTGGATCATAAAATGTTTCCACCAACTCATATGTTTCATAGACACTATGATACAATGGATAGCTGCTGAATTTGTGTGTTTTCTACAAAAGAAACACATATCTCTTGTAAGATAGCTTATAATAAAATACATAGCATTTTATTTACTGTTAATGTTTGACTAATAATAAATAAAATGAAGTACTTAAATACCTCAATGTGCTACTTAATATGGGTCTACTATTACAGTATTTAAACTCACTCTAGGCTTGTGCTAAGTAAAATATATGCATGTGTGACATAAACAATAATATAAAAACATTCTTTTGGAGTCACCTTACAGACTTATCTTTAACCATAGCAGAGATGTGAAAATGTTTTAGGAGACTGAGGAAAAGTCAAGAAAAGTGTTGCATTTGAATAAAACTAATTTAAGAAGATAGAACTATTAGAAGTAAGTAAATAAACATGACAATATTATATAGGGAAATATGTGGAATTTTTAAATACTGAAATTCTATTAAAAAATTATTCTCTGATGAACAGTGTGTGGAAAAGTAGACTGTCCAAGCAGTGAGGGGTTAAGAAGTAAATGCAGAATCACACTATGAAGAGGGATGGATGGTCAGACAGGTATAAGGAAAGTCAACAGTATAAGAAAAAGCCAAGAAGGAAGGACTTTTCATCTAGGCACAGTGGTGCATGCCTGTAATCCCAGCAACTTGTAAGGATGAGGCAATAAGATCATAAGTTCAAGGCTAGCCTGAGCAACTTAGGAAGATCCTGCCTCAAACTAAAAATTGTAAAAAGGGGACTGGGAATGCAGTTCAGTGGTAAAATCCCATGGGTTCTACCTCTCAGTACATTGAAAACAAAAGAAAGAAAAGAAAAAAAGAAAGAAAGAAAGAAAGAAAGAGAGAAAAAGAAAAGAAAAACTTTTCAAACTGCTGATTTATGCCTTTTGATCATTTTACAAGGTGCTTGAATTTTTTATATTCATCATTTATTTGTTGATAATTTATAAAGATGGAGGTAGATACATATTTGAAAAGTAAAAGTTGAAAGACTTTTCACCTGACAAATAGAAATCAAGTAGGACAAGTACCAAACTGATATAAGAAGCTACTAGTTTTAGTTATGAGGTTTTATAAACTATGCATCTATGTTATTTTGATAAAAATACAAATATAAACTTATAGTAGCAGCAACAACAAAAGGAATGGCATATGACTCATATCTTCATTGTGCATTATGTCACTTGTTTTTTAAAGATTAATCTAATAATTGGATCTATAAGAGATAAAATAGAAATGTTTATATAGGTATTTATATGGATTAATTTTGAATGGTATTAAAATTAAAGATATTATGTCATGTGCGTATAGCTGCATTCCACCTTTATGTTCTACAAAGCACTGATTTTAACAAAATGATAAATAAATAGAAGGATGGTCATTAGACTAGAAGAAGTGAAATGGGAAAGGAGCAGGGGACCACAAGAAGAAGCACTGGGGACTGAAATGGAACAAATTATATTCCATGCCTCTATGACTATATCAAAATGAACCCAAAAATTACATATAACTATAATGCACTAATATAAACATTTTAAGAGACAATTCCTATATGACTTAAATGACTTTATGAATGCAATGCTACCAAATAAAACAGAAAATATATTTAATATAACATAAAGAAGTTTGCAGTCAGGAGTATTGGGGCCAGGGGCAGTGAACAAGGGCTCAGACATCAGATGCAGGACCCACCCCACAAAGGACCAGCACTGCCAAGCCCTACCATGTCTCCTTTCTGCCTTTATATTCCTCACCTCCTTTAATGCTTGAGCCACTTTTTGAAGTCAAAATTATTTGTTTGGCTAAAATAGAATCATAAATAATCTTGAAGAATTTAGTGAATGACAATTACCCAATCTTTAGTATATCATGCTCTGCCTGAAGCAATTCCGAGTCTTTGGAAGAACACCTAAAATCATTACCAGACCCCAATTTACTAATCCTTTTAGGGGAAAAAACAGAATTATTTTAGAGTAATTTTTTATCAATTTTAGATTAAAGATCAATTAAACTAAACTCCATCCCTATTATGACACTCTTAAACATGMAGAAAAGAATGAGAGAAACATTAATTTGATCACAAAATATCCAGTTTTATGACTAGTTTATAAGTTCCTTTTAAAAAAGATTCCTGAAATTTGAAAATATTTTCCTTTAGATTATTTCATTTAACATCTRTATTTGTGGTATGTGATAAAGTGAAATAAGTAACCATTTTTTCAGGTAATTCAGATGTAAATTATTCCCTTATTACTTTAAATTATACATGTTGCTGATATCAACATTCTCAAACAACTGAGATAGTTCTTTTCCCTTGCTTGTGAGGATACAACCAATGCAGAAGTAATGCTTGTATTCAATATTAGAGTAACCAAAGTATCTGTTAACTGTGTGGTGTTCAGAAAAAAGACAAGTGATGAGGTGATAGAAATATGATGAGAATTACTTTTTACCATTATCTCTATTCTAACTTTATATGTATGTACCATATGCAAGTACCCCTTCTAATAACACTCATTTTTTGATAGCCAACAGATTTAACTTCAAAACACATCATAATATTGGATTTGAGACTCTTAAGCATTTGTTTTATCTGATCTTAGAGSATTTTGAAMTTTAATTTTTAAATTTATGATTGAAAGAAAATAYTCTGATATTTTCTAAACAATCCCAGTCMAAAAATCAAATCGAGCAGAAAGCTGGGTTGCTGTTTTGTTTACCTGGGCATGCCACTGAACTCAGGTGAAGAACTCTTTTTATTCCAGCTCTCGTAAAGAGATTTGCCTTGAAAACCTTCATCAGGGCTTTGAAGCTACACAAATTAATGGAAGGAAGGAAAATACTTTAAAAAAATAGATGCAGTAAAACTTACATGTCTGTTGTTAACCAGGGAGTTAATTATAGTTACACAAAACAAAAACTGCAATCTTTATATTAGCAGTCCTTAAAAACTGTGGAGTTGGGGTGTCACCCAGTGGTGCAGCAAATGAATAAATAAATGAATTACAATAATGAGTTTCTGACATTAAACGGAAATTTTCATGTTATTATGTATGGGAATKACTACATTAAGAAAAATCCATAAGGTGCATAGAAAAGAAGACCACATCAAATTATTATCAAACCATTTTCTTTAGAAAATGTATAATTTTGTTTTGTCTACTTTTCGAAATTGGGCTAGGTGACTCTCAAAACCATATATTTTCCCATTTCTTAGAAAAAAAATAAAAGCAAGTGAACTGGTTAAGGGAATATAATCTTTTTTAATATTTATATTTTTAGTTATAAGAGGACACAATATCTGTATTTCATTTTTATGTGAGGCTGTGGATCAAAAACAGCACCTCATGCATGCAAGGTGAGTGCTCTCCTTCTGAGCCACAATCCCAGCCCCCAGAATGTATTCTTCTGAGGACTTCTTCTCGTCAGAAAGATTGTCAAAGCCATTAAGTAATATATGTATATATGCATATAAAGTATAATATAAATATTTTATTCAACCAATTGTTTGTGTAATTGTGTTAAACATTAAACTCATTTTCTGGTTTCATAAATGAGAAAAATAGGAAGTAAAACATGACCTATTTTACAATTCTACACTTTTATGGAATTCTAGACTCAGAATATTACAAATTGTACCAAAATCAGGCAGCAAACTAAACTAACATTCCCCAGTTATTTACAGATAATTGAACAATAATAGTATAAAGTGTTTGTATTTTCTATTAATGAGAGTCAAATGAACTAATTTTCAACAAGTGCAATTCAGATACCTTTTGGAGCACCTACACTTTTTGAGAGCCTTTGAAAATGCCAGGGATTCATCGACCAATAAGGCACATAACAAACTTTCTACAGTAGGGGTGGCCAGGAAAATGTGGAAATCAGTATCCTATGTGCTGTAAGAGATGCATATGCAAAAGTTTATAGGGACACAAGTTAAATTTATAAAACATGAAAAGCAATTATTTCACTCAAGCTTATAATTTAATATCAAACTTCACATAAGGAATAGGATAATTCCATTAGCAAAAGGGGGGGGAATATATATATATTCATACACACACACACACACACACACACATGTATTGTGAATTACTTGAATACTGGAAATTCATGAAATACCAGGTCTCAGATACTTAAATATTGTATGTTGTGTGGTAATTTATAAAACTCCAGCCAAACAATTGAGCTCATAAATTCTAGACTAATAAATGTTTTCAAATTGATTGTTCAATTTCAATAGAAGTTATATGGTTAAATTTCATGCTTTTGAAACTGAAGCTTAATGACATGTATTATAACTTATAATTCCTCCTGAAAAAATTGTTTTTCTTGGAAATTACATTGTTTATTTCTGATTCTATTCAGTGAACAGGTTTTCTGTTGTCCTTATTGTTTTCTTGCCATTCACTTCAGACAATTAGCAGAAACAAAAATCTGTCATGCCAAACCCCCTTCATTCTTACTAACTTGGATTAGGACCAGAGTTATGGAGTATGAAGGTTAAAGAGATTCCTSTCCTATAGAAATTTAGGTATCCACCTTTCTACCATTTCTGGACCAACGCTGTAACCTGAAGTTCCTGAAAACAGCATTCTGTAAATTCTTCAGTGTTTTCCAATTAAATTTAGATCCCACTCTCAAAATAGAACTACATGACATCAAAAGTTTTTTTTCTCCATAAATTTACAATTTGTACACACATGAAACATAAAATAAAATATATTAACTTCTGCATTTTAAAACAATGATAGATTAAACTTCTGTAGCTAAAGCATGAACTAAAAATAATTACATGATTTTTATTAAATATGCTTCAGCACCTATTTGCAAAGCCTTCTGACAAATGAATTTAGAAAAAAAAAGTAAGGAAAAAGTATGAGTTCATTAACTTAAAACTTTGTACTCACCTGAAGACTCTATAATTGGTCTTGTTAGTAGTTGCAGGAAAATTCATCTAAGTGTCTCAGGGGTTCTATCTTCTGGGCTCTCTGGACAACAGCTGCAACCTCCTGAGATTTCCACAGTCTAGCCAACTTCAAGTGCCTCTTTTTTTTTTTTTTTTTTTTACTTCAGGAAACCTTTATATTATATGGGACTCTTAAAGCCCCATCCTGATTCGGTTTATGCAGGATCGAGTATCATAAGAACAAAAGGTTAAGTCCATTCCTTGATCCATTTAACTCTTTTACCAATCTCCTTAATACATTACAGACACACTTAGTGTAGGTTTTTCTCTTTCTCTCTCTCTCTCTTTCTGGCCCTGGTGATAGAATCCAGGCCAATCTTTCTACCACTGAACAACATTCCAACTCTCTGTGTGATTTCTCAAATATACCCCATAGAAAATGTTATATTTAAATTGCTATTATACAGCTTTCTCTCAGTCCTATTTTCATATATGATAATATTTTAACCTACTATTTGAACATAAATTTTTTTCTTCTCACAAATGTCTGCCCTTTCTTCTTTATTATCTAGAATCCTTTATCATCTTCACTTTTGTCCTGGCCATTTAAATCCTTTCACTCCTGCCAAATTTCTACCAGCCTTTAGAATTGAAAATTGGAATACCAATGATTTATTGGGGRTAATTTGAGAAAAGTAAAAGTACAGATTCAATTATCTGGCTTGCTGATTTGATTTTGAGTTTAGGAATATGACAAAGGCACAAAAAAATTAATGATCTTGTTGAAAACAATTTGAGTAAACTTAAATATCTCAAAAGATAGCATGATACAAAAAAATGACATGAACAAAGACTATTTGGCTATATCATATTTCTTTTCTTTTTTTTTTTTTTTTTACAAAGTACCAGAGATTGCACTCAGGGCCACTTGGCAGACTTAACCACTGAGCTTCATATCGGTACTTTTTATATTTTATTTTGAGACTGAGCCTCACTAAGTTGCTGAGTTTGACCTCAAACCCTGGACCCTTCTGCCTCAGTCTCTTGAGTCTCTAGGAATACAGGCATGTGTTACCACACTTGGTCGCTTCAACATATTTTTAAAGATATATTTCATCTACACATTTTTTATATCTAAATAAATTACCAACTAGTAATTAACTGAATATAACTAATAATGAAATGTTATATGGAAAAGATTACAGTAATGAGATGTTTCAATAAGTGGTTAGCTTTACAAAGTACTAACTAACATCAAAGTAGAGGGGGGCATGCTTTTAAATTCAAGTTATTCTCGGAGGTTGAGGCATAAGGATTCCAAATTTATCCCTGGGTTAAACACTCAGTAGCACAAATTAGGAAAGGCAGTTTCCCCTTCTTCCAGTGATGACTGAGCTGAGTCTTAAGGGATTCGTAAATCCACGAGGGTAAAGAGAATACAAAATAATTTTGGCTCATATAAGTTCTTTTTGGCAATGATAACACACACACACACACACACACACACATACACACACACACACAGCCCACATCCTATCTTCAGTGTAATCTCTTCCCCCTCTTCTCCATCAGCACAATGAATGTGACCTGCTCTATCCATACAAAATCATAATATGGGTCCCAAGAAGGAAATCATATGGCTGCCAAGCTATAGGAAAATTTCTTTGTAAACAACTGAGGGCACAAGTGAAAACAAAACTTTTTTTTTTTTTTTTTTTTTTTTTTTTTTACACTGCAAGTAAAAAGGATTGGGTATGTTATCCACATGATACACCAATCTTCTCATCATTTTTCCTGAATTTCATTAACACTAAGATCCCTACATCATTATGAAATGGTCATAAAACAGGTAGAAGATGGTAAAAGTATCAAACTTATTCAGAGATAAGAGGAATCAAACATTTACTGATTGCCTATCATGCACACTACAATAAGTTTTATATACTTCACTTAAAATATAAACATAGTTCCAGTTATTTGTTCACAGAAGCACTCCTACCCCCAGAATGGTCTATATTTTAATTGGTCTTTCACTTTAAGTGCAAATTATAATAAAACAATTGGGAGCTTGGTTAGCAACATCTGCAACACCTGTGGTAGAAGAATTTGCTGTTAACACAGGCAGCAACTGATGCAGCTGTCCACACACAACAATTGCATTTGTCAGATGGTCTGCAGCTTTCTCAAGTTTGCCTTGAGGTAGTAACTCTTCACCAAGCTGTATTTCTTCAAGGAAGACTTTATGAAAAGCTGCAGAATCTTTAAGATCCTGTAATTTGGAAAACCCACTCTCTCCTGGGCAAACTTCTGCTTTTCTTTTCATTCCTGAAGTTTGCTCTTGAAGTTGAAGGTGCTCATCCCCTTGCAATTGAAGTAAATGCTATACCAGATGATGAGCTATGCATACTCTTGTGGCCCTTGCACTGCTTGGGCTCACCCCTTCACTAGGTACAGGGAGTGCCACTGCCCTGTCCTCAGAGTAGATGGTGGCTGTGACGACAGAGAGAGGAACTTTAAAGAATTTTTGTTTATGGTAAAGTTTATGTACTGATTGTTTTTCACTCATCATGCTTTGCTCTGCTTTAAATACCATAAACTGTAGTTTCCTGATGTGACCTTCTTAGTCTCCTTTGCTGCTTTCTCTTTCATTGGGATTGTGTATTTTCTTAGTCCTTAACTCACCATACCTGGTGCTTTGATCTATCATAATTATATTGAGTCCAAAATTGTTATCAAGACATGTCAGAAACTCAGAATTCATCCTACTTCTAAATCCTGCTTAGTTTTTCAGCATGTTGTGTTTTTCCTTGTTAACTAAGTACCCAACAGCCTACATCCTTCCCCTTTGTATTTAGTATGTTTCCCTTGCTTTTTCTCCATCAACTCACAATCATAAAAATGATGTCCAGGAAGAGTGTCAAAAGGCTGCCAGGCTCTACTGTAATTTTAGTACATTTTCTTTATAATTAAACTTTCTTTAAGTTTTGCAGCTTGTTAAACACAATATAAGTAGAGATGATAAACTAGTGGAGGAGAAAATAGAATTTGTGAATTGATGGCCTCAATTTTGACAAGAGAAGATAAGATCATTTTAAAGACAAAGGTCTTTGAAAGGCTCATTTTGTATATAATTGCATATTTATTTATTTTGCACAGTGGAGACTCTTCTATCATATTTTATTAAACAAAAATTTATTGAATACTGTTTTGAATTTTAATCAAATCAACAAAAATGAAAATAATGCACAAGGTGTTTGGCACCCAAAAAATGACTAATACTTGTATTGTCTATAGAGTCTTAAAGGCAGTTTCAGCAGTATGTTGTGTATAAATATATTTTTGTTTTCTTAACACCCTTTGGGAATTTAGACTATTCTATATAAATTCTAGATGGCTAACATATTGAATTTATTTGAAAAAAGCTGTTGCAAATTGAGTCCATTATTTCCATTGTTGATACCAAATTTGAAAAAAAATAAAATTAAAGAATCCTAGTTGGCGATAGAGCTCAGTGGTATAGCACCTGCTTAGCATATGTGAGGTTTTGGATTTGTTCCATGCACTGCAATAAATAAATAAATAAATAAATAGATAAATAAATAATCAAAGATATGTTTCTCATTTATATTCATTTCTTCTCTGCAATTTTAATTGAAATGATGTGTCTTTCCAGGGCACATTTATAGACAACTGAAAACATTTATGATTTTTATACTGTGTTGCTTTCCACTGGTATCTAATGAGTAGAGACCAGGGATTATGGTGGACATGACACAATGTATTGGACAGCCCCCTGAACAAAGAATGTTACCTAGCTCTGATGTTGAAAAGTTTTGAACAAGTGTATCTTTACTTAGGTAAATAGTAATACTCAAATTAAAGGGTTAGAGATGTATCTCAGTAAAAAAGCCTGCCGCAGTCTGGCTGGGCACAAGATCACGAGCCACCACACACCTTGTAGATTCAAACAGCAATTCTTTATTCTCGAACTCACACTGGCACTCTACACACGTTCTGGGAAAATCCAAGTTCTACTGCAAAATTCACGTACTCCACCAGGCTTTGAATCCCAAATACTTTCTGAATTCCACGAGAACTCAAGGGTAACTCAGGAAGCAGGATATGCCCTATTCCCAGCAGGAATAACCTTAAACCTGGAACCATCCTATACCCAGATTGTCCTAAACCGGGAACGCCCTAAACCCAAGGAGCTGGATACTTCCTAAAACCTGCAGGATACACACTAAACCTGGATCCACCCTAATCCAGTAGGATTCTCCCTAAACCCGGATCCACCCTGGTCCTTGAGCAGGGTCACCTTTCTCAAACATACATGCAATGTCACAGTGAATGTCCAAGGCAAGTCCATTTCCACGAGTCCTTCCTCTAAGCAACATGTGGTACGCTGGCAAGGAAATTTTGATGCGTCATTCCTACTTGGCAATGGCCCTCAGCAGGTCATAAAGCTACAAAGAATGCCATCTCTCACTACCCTGCCATCTGGATCCTCTACTTCTAACTTAATTATACTAATTGATGTTTGACTAATAGAAAAATTGATGTATTATTTAGCAAAATTTTCCAAATTGGTTAATTTTCCCATATAAAAATTAAATCACTGCTGGGCACAGTGGTACATGCCTGTAATCCCATGACTTGGGAAGTTGAGGCAAAAAGATCACCAGTTCAAGGTCAGCCTCAACAATTTAGTGAGGTTCTAAGCATTTGGTGAGACCCTGTCTCAAAATAAAAAATAACAAGGGCTAGGGATGGTGCTCTGTGGTAAAGTATCCCTGAGTTTAATTTTTGTACCCTCCCCCAAAAAAGGTTGGTTTACTAACTCAACCAACACTTATTGAAATGCTATAGCATGCTACTCATTGTGCTTAATCCTGAAATTAGTATCATTTTATTTAAAAAACCTACAATGTATGAGAAGACAGATAATGATTAAATAATTAAAAGTAACAGTTTCAAGAAGGAACAATATTTTCTCAAATATGAACATTATTATGCCCTAATTAGGCAGCATTTGTAATCTGTATCTTGACAATTCATTATGAAAAGTCCAGTTAGTTTGTTCAATAAGTCTTTGGCCTTTTGTTAATAATAGAATCTGCAAGCATTCAAATTTCCATTTTAATTAAGCTCATAACAGAAGGGGTCACTATCAAAAAATAGTTTCTAATTATTAACATCTCAACAAATATTTGCAATTTACAAAACACGATTAACAAAGCAACATTGTTGGTTGATATGAACCCTTTTCAGTCTTTCCTTCAAAGCTGGAAAGTGAACTAGAAAGGTATTCTATTGGAAAAAACAATCTCAACAAAACTACTTGACGTGTACACAATATTTTTCATCTTCCTTTGAAGACAATATTGCATTACTGTTGGAATCAAATATTTGTCATTCATCCCCAAGACCTTATAAATTCCATTTTCCCCAATTATTTCTAGTTTTAGAATCTGAGACACATTTTCCAGGCATCTGGTTAGCTGAAACTTCTCTAATTCAAAATATCCTTCAAGAAATTAAAAAAAAAAAAAGGGCTGGGGTGGTGGCTCAGTGGCAGAGCACTTGCCTAGCACATGTGAGGCACCGGGTTCAATCCTCAGCACCACGTATCAATAAATAAAATAAAGGTCCATTGGCAACTAAAAATTAAAAAAAAAAAGAAATTAAAAAAATATCGTGAAATTAAAGAGAATTAGGTGAAAGGTCCAAACAAAACTGAGAATCTATAATCCCTATAATAAGTTTTTCTTTATAATGTAAACAATTTAATTCTTACTGTTGGATTTGATAGGCCATAGAAAAACAATTGTTTTATTTTGGGGGGAATGTTAATTTTTTATAAAATTTCAAATATCTGGAAAACCTGGCTGGACATGGTGGTATATGCCTGTAGTACCTG